TTCTGACAGATGGCAGTCCAGTCTCTTCTTGAAAGCTTCCAGGGACGAAGCTCCCACAACTTCTGAATTTCTAAACCACATTTCATACATCAAATGCCCTGGGAGTATTTGGGAAAGCCATGAAGTAGACAGTCCATCAGGCCAAAGTAGCCACAACCACTTTTAAATAGTTATGTTAGCTATTTAACACATGTTATTGTCTTCTACCTAAGTTATAAGAGTCTCTCCAGACTGCTTGCCATCTCCAGGGAATGACCAGATAAGGCTTTGTGCATCTTAGAGAGGTCATTTATGCCCCTTATGGTGTGCAGCGATTCTAAACTGGGTCCCCACTAAACTCCTCCTTCCAGCCTAGCTGGCAGTTTCCCAACACATTCCAGATAATCTGTTCTGACCTATGCTTCCCAAGAGCATGAAGCAAACTCCTGGTCCCGACAAAATCCCCTTTTATTAATTGACTGTGAATTCTGCTTATTCACATCCAGCAAAGTCTTTCAAGGGAGGATTTACAGTCACAGACCTTCTCTGGCTTGGAGAGCTGCCAGGCCGATATCTGCAGAACTTGGCAAGGAGCCTTGGAGAGTCACGAACCAATTAAGCAAACTAATTGTCTCCTGCAAACTCCACTCCCCTTTCGCTCCTCTTTTATTTCCTTTGAGAGAGGCCATTCCTCGTCCACTTGTGGCCTTACTCCCAAGTCAACCCATGTTCCTTAGCTGTTCCCTTCGTCTGGCAACTCTGTGCATACGCATACTGGGAACAGGCTCCAGCTGTTCTTCTGCCCCACTGATGTCTGTCTCTGAAGGCAGCTGATAACTGGACATGGCCCTGGCCCCCTCTCTGCCTCTAACACAGAGCCCTCATCAGAGCCTTCCCCAGACTCCAGGACTGGCCCATTCTCCTCCCCAGCCTCCTCACTGTCCGAACCTGCTGCCAGCTCTGCTGGCCACTGGCAGGCCACAACACCGACAAGCCAAGTCAACAAGGGAAGCCAGATTTGCTTAATGGCATCGATCATTTAACTGCAGCCATGATTTGCTTAACAACAGTGCAGAAAAGATTGTAAAATAGCATAACCCATTTCCTTGCTTAGCAATGGAAATTTCGGCTTCAATTGTGGCCGTACCTTTGAGGACTGCCTGTGTCATTCTTTAGCTTACCTATCAAGCTCTGAATCAACTCCCTTTTCTTCAGAGGCATCCAGGTTTGGTGGTGTCGCATTGGACTGTAGAACCGCACTGGCTGTCGCATTGTGGGTGCTGTCCCTGTAAGAGGAAAAATGGAATTTCAAAAAGTTATTCTTTCGGATGACGTTCTTAGCCCACAATTCTCTTGACATGGTGGATGATTTCTGGTTAGGCTTTTAAGATTTTCAAGATGCCGTAAGGTCATTCAAGAAACTCAAGACGATTCTGCCCTTGGTTTGACTTTCCCAGACATTTCTGGCTCAGCATCTCTACTCCTAAACCTACTAAATTCCTAAACCTATTGGCTTCCTCTATCATCTGAGCTGTGGTGGCACAGTGGTTAGAGTGGAGTACTGCAGGACACTTCTGCTGACTGCCAGATGAATCAGTGTGTGTCTGAATATATGTGTATGTTTTCTGGATTTGAATTTACGCCACAAATTCGGACATACGGATCAATTTATGCCACAAATTTGGACATGTGAATATCACGTGAAACCCCAAAGAATGAAGCTAAACCTTACCCAGGGTTAAGGGGCCCGGGGTCTGGCGTCTCTTCCAGTCTTCGGGTTAGCAAGGATTTCAGTTCTTTAATCTCATCGTCTTCTTCATACTGAAACATTCAATGTATTAACAATTCAAATTTGTTAAAGAGGTTAGTTAGAGACCAGGTTATTTTGGGGGGGAAAGTATCGGCACAAGTCCTAATTCAGTAACCTGGATTCGATGCTTCGTTGCAGAAAATGGCTGTTGAGCATACAGCAGGAAGATTATATAGGCAGTCCTCGACTTACGGCCATAACTGAGCCCAACGTTTCTGTTGCTAAGTGAGACGTTTGTTCGGTGAGTTTTGCCCTGTTTTACAACCTTTCTTCTCTCAGTTGTTAAGTGAATCACTGCAGTTGATATGTTAAGTCAACCTGTCTTCCCCATCGACTTTGCTTGTCAGAAAGTTGCAAAAGGAGGGGGGGTGTCACATGACCTGGAGGTACAGCAACGGTCATAAGTATGAGTCAGTGGTCTGAATTTTGATTGCATGATCATGGGGATGGGCCAAAGGTCGTAAGTGAAAAACGCTCATAAGTCACTTTTTTTCAGTGAGGTCGTAACTTTGAATGGTCACTACATGAACTGCTGTAAGTCGAGGACTACCTATAGTTAACAGAAACAGGGATCCACTCCTTTCTGGTAAGAAAGCTCCCTGAGATTTTGCAACCCATCGCCATTCTGGCACTACCTACCTTAGTCATCAAAATGGGGATCATTTTGTCATCAAAAAATTTTCAGCCATCAATAAACTGACTATTCCTAAAGTACAGCTTTGAAAGAAGCCACAGTTACTGTTGTGGCCCGCCAGAAGAACTGGCAGCAGACTCAGACAGTGAGGAGGTTGGGGAGGAAGATGGGCCAGTCCTGGAGTCTGGGGAAGGCTCTGATGAGCGGCTCTGTGTCGGAGGCAGAGAGGGGGCCAGAGCCGTATGCCAGCTATCAGCTGCCTTCTGAGTCAGACATCAGTGAGACAGAAGAACAGCTGGAGCTTGTTCCCAGTGTGTGCATGTGCAGAGTTGCCAGACGAAGAGAACAGCTGAAGAACAGGGGTTGACTTGGGAATAAGGTCACAAGTGGGTGATGAATGGCCCCACCCAGAGGAAATAAAAGAGGAGCGAAAGGGGAGTGGAGTTTGCAGGAGACACTTAGATTGCTTAAATGGTTCATGACTCTCCGAGACTCCTTGCCGAGTTTTGCAGATATCGGCCTGGCAGCACTCCAAGCCAGA